ATTTTTTTCCATAATCAACCTTTCACAAGTGTAAATATAGCAACGTAGTATAAGAAATAATTAAGGATAGTGTCTGCCTCTCAAAAAAGAAATCAACTGCAGGGTGCACGTCCTTGAGCAGGGAGTGTGGGATGTACGATCGTGTACGTACGTGTGAATAATCATGCCTATTTACGTTTTTTTCGTGTGGGAAATTCAACTTGCAACCACCACCTCTTCCCATATAACCTTTTGGGTGAATGGAGGAGGGTGGGTATCACCTAAACCCGTAAATATAAGACAATGAGTTCACATGTTTTAAACTTTTTTCAAATACAATTAATCTTACAGGAAACATTAGTACTTTAGTTCTTTTCTCAATATACTTGACCGATAAGATAACTTGAGCCTCCTCATCTTCCTATCGCAAACATATGCATCTTACAAAGGTACATCTACACATGTGGTGTTGAATGAACCATGAAACGAACGCTGGTGAGACCATTAACATACTGTTTCCCGATTGGTTGTTGCCAGGTGCCCGCCTACAGGATCTGCCTCCTGATTGGTCAGCTGCGGACACACCCTTGCATCATAAGTGTTCGGGTTCTCTGGAGGTGGCTTTTGTTGCTGAACGTGTTTGGTTCATTTGCGTTAATAAGGACTTATCTGTTACTATGGCAACCGTGTAACATTTAGCATGGAGTAACTTGGAAGGTTACAATACTTGTATAGAAGACACATACTTGCTTTTAATTTCTTTGATTATTCCACATCAATATGACGATTCGCTCTACACCTGCCCACACAAGTGTTAAACAAGTGTCCATGGCAGCTGTATCAAATGTACATTTCACACTGTACCCACAGACTAAGGTTGTAATGAACCTACAATTCCATCTTCTTCCGTCTTATTTTAAAAGGGACTAATTAAGAAGCAATTTATAAAATATCAGTCATGCAAACTAATATGGGTTTGAGATGGGAAGCAGATTGTGATAAAAACGAGTGGATGGAAAGAGGAAAAAGAAAAATTATTGAAGTAGAACATTAGAACAGATGAGGAGGGTACTTGTATATTTATTATTTACTAAATCAATAATAGAAAACAACAAAATAGTTTGCATGGCCTAAAATTAACGCTGATTTTTTTTTTTCTTTCTTTCTTTCTTTCTTTTCTTTTTTTTTTGCCATCCATTATGTTAGCTTCAGGACTACTTCGATTGACATGTTGGTGCTCACCCTTATAGCTAAAACACTTGAAACTAAGTAAATAGCTTTTTTTTTTTAATCTTCACGTTGACTTCTGTTCAGTAAAAATTCCATCCACAGATATACACCAGCTTAACAAAACACTAAAAATACAATTAAATTGGCTCAAATATTTGCACTCAAAAAAACAAACTCAACAAAATAACACTGCTGCCATTAACCTATTAAATGTATATTCCTACGATTACAACTAAAGAAAATACTAATATTGTGAACTCCCTTAACATCTTCAACATAAATCGAAAGAAAAAATAAATAATAACCTGTTTATATTACAAAAATCCAAGGACCTTTTTTTCCCCCAGATTCATCTTTCTTACCTATTATTCTGGGCAATATCTTCTGCTTATTAACTTTGTGAACTGATTTTCATTTCCATGATTGTTTAATTGATAATTCCATATACATTTGAGTACGCTGCAAATGCCTATTCTTTTCCTTTGAAATAAGGTCTTGTCAGATAACATTAATTTTTTTTTCTTTTCTTAACAGATCCCACATGCCCGTAATATATTCATAAGCTTAAATACCTGTTATCTGACGAAGGAATGTCAGCTCCAATGTAATACGGACAAAAAGAAAAAGTTTTCGAGTCTTGACAATTTAATGCAATTATGGCTAAATGCAACTCTACTGCATGTATAATGAATGGCCATTTGGATATATTTGCACATCTACCTAATCCATAAATCATATATAAAAACATAAATGCAGATCCATCTTGATGTTTACACGTGATCCATTAATCATACAGTAAGAACGTTTATCACAGATCTACCTTGATAGCATACCCTTTATTAAAAATCTTATGCCCAGTAACTTGCATCATCTGCCTGGTAATATAATCAACTAAATGTAAAGTCGAGATAAATAAACAAACACATTTTCACATGCCTATTTACAAACCAAAATATAGTGAAGCTATTATGCTGATTAAACTTTTTTAATTCATTTATTTCTTTTTAAAATTGTCTGATTTCTAGGGTTGCCGTTTCTCATCAGAAACATACCCTTAAAGACAGTTTTCCTACCAATCCTAGAAAATACAATCTCAAGACTTTTAATGCTTTTCAATGTCATCTGATTTTTGTTAAACTAAAGGATTTCAAGGTGTATGATACAATAGGATAAAAAATAAACAAAAATGGTTCATGGTTAAAAAAAAAATGTGCTAGTCATCAAAGGTCATATAGCACTATTGTTAGTGATTAGATGAAAATGTGTTCGATGTCAAAGGTTGTACCGCACTAGAGGATAGTATGGCAGTGAAAAGGGTAAAGAGGGAATAGCAAATGGAGCAAGAGAGCCATTCAGGACCGACACAAAGCCAGCCTTTCATCCTTTCAGGATGTGGACAGAAGAGAAGGAAAAGGAAGGGGGGAGAAGAAAACACCGTGTAAAATTAGTTAAGGCAAGGACTGAGGTCGAAGGTAGGGGGGCATGAGAAACAAGGGAATACCATGCCCATGGCTCCCCAGGGCTGTTCTGGACTGACACAAAGCCAACCTTTCATTCTTTCAACACAGCTCTTACATCTTAGGAAGTAGACAAAAGGGATTGGAGAAGAACAGGCAAAAGAAAGGGGGAGAAGGAAAGACCACGCAAAATTGGTTAAGCCAAAGGGCTGAGGCCACTTTGGGTTTCAAGCTCTTGACACTTTGGATTTCCACATTATTATCCATACAATCCATATATTGTTAACTTTAATAAGCACATATTTTATCACTAATATCCAGACTGTATCTCCCTCTGCAATTGCTGTCTATTGGACTGTCCAGAGATCATCACTTGTTTATCTTAATTTATTAGAGTAGCAATTTTCATTCATCATTCTTTCATTTCATTTTGAGAAGCCACAAAAGGCAAAAAATGCATTCAAAAACAAAGAAAAGGAAAGGCAGAGAAAGAAAGACCAAGACAGAGACAGAGAGAGAAAAAAATGAGAACAGACTTTACGTCATGCCTAAAGTAGGGCAATTTATGAGCTATGCACTGGAATAGGGTTCATTTTCTTAAGAAAAGCAGTGGCTAGAGTATGACTAATCCACTTTCGATGTATCTGGATACAGCATAATTCTTCAAAATTTCACTTTCTGCAAATTTAAGAAAATGCAGTGCTGGACAGTATTTAACTTACATATAATAAATAGACTGGTGTAGCAGAATATCATTACAGTCAAGGGTTGCTGGGAACAGTCAACTCAGCTCCAGCCCCAGACCTTGGTATATATCAAAATGTTTCAGCATAGTAACTGAGAAGAAATAATCAAGAACATTCAAGGAGCTTCAAAGGGTTCCAAAACCCCTATGAAAGTCTATGGGGCTTAGCAAGTCTTTGGTAGTCAGCTGAAGGATAAAACTCACCACAGGCGAAAAAGTAGTTTGGCTTACTTTTTTCCAGTACACAGTCCTCTTCAACATCACTTCTTTTTTCAAGCAATACTTTACCATTCCCATAATTTTGCTGGAATGATATAACCAGAAACTTTTATATTCCTTTCACAAGATAAGGATATTTATTCACATTTATTGATTTGTCTTCATGTTATCCTTTATTCATTTATTGCATTACCAACAGTCATGGCTATAAAATAACAATTTTCTTCTACTTTTTTTCAAGCCGTGACGGCATTCAAGGACATCACTGACCTATATTTTCAAGAAGAAAAAAGACAAAAAAGATGGAAAATGTAAAAAATATCAAAAGACAAAAATTGTACAAAACAAAATATGTAAATGCTAAAGACAGTAATTAAAAAAAAAAAAAAAAAAAAAAAAAAAAAAAAAAAAAAAAAAAAATCCCAGATAATTAATTCACTGATTGTCCAAGGTGGTTTTGCTTTAATTCTGTTTCCACAGGTGTGTCATTACCTTTTTGATCTTACCTGTTTACTTCTTTTTTTTTAATCTTTTAGAAAAATATTTCAAATTTTAGTATCATTATTTATGCTATTATTATTATCACAATCATTATCAATATTTACCAACAACAATAATAGTAATGACCATACCAAGCTTCACAAAAATTCATGAAATGGAGTGAATAAGTGATGTATGGTAGCCCTTGTAATTAACTTACCAGTGAACAAGGGATTCTGGAGTTATCCATCAACAAACAGAAAAAAAACAAAACCACAGCAGACTATCCAGATCTAAATGCACTCCCAGCACCAATGAGTGAGCTACACTTGACTAAAATTGACTAAAAAATAAATATACTTTTGTCTCATATCATTCCTGTGAAAAGAGAGAGAACAAAATGAATTCAACAATACTTCAGTTTCAAAACTAAAAACTTTTCAACTTGGTGAAGTTTGGCGGTGGTTGGGGGGGAGGGGGTATCTGAAGATGTATCATTTTCAAAACACCAACATTATGTACTTTATTGACAAATATTGCAAAGGCAATTCATTTATATTATACATTAATTATCTAACAACTCATTACAAAAAACAAAAAAGTAAGAAAAACTGTACAAAAGCACTGAGATATATATATATATATATATAATATATATATATAATATATATATATATAATAATAATAAAATAAAAAATTAATAAAATAAAAATAAAAAACTGGTAAAAAAAAAAAGGGGGGGGGGGAACAACTCACATTTTGGAGAACTTCTCCCTCAATTGTATGGGTAACAGAAATAGAAGTTCCCCAAGTGTGGCTATATTTCAACCAGTGATGTGCACCTTCTCCACTCACTACTCTATCCTTTCCTCTTCCCTTCCTTTGGGGAACAGGACGATCCCCGTTCTTCCCTTTCCTCCCCGTCACCTGTCTCACAATCTGTTCACCTTCTTATGAGAAATCAGATTCCTTTGAGCTTCCTCTATAAAAACTGATACAAGATCGCATTGCCAAGAGACCTTCTGCTTACAACTCTCTCCTTTAGGAATCCTCCTGGAAAAGAAAACGAAAAAAGTATTGAAATCGATTTCTTGAGTATAATTCACAATGAACTGGATTCTTTGCCCGTTTGTATGTTTATTTGTTAAAATAAACTACAAAATGAGCACATACATATTCATCATCTTTTACGAAATGTAAACAGCTATTCCGTTCTTTGCAATTCATGCTTTTTTCCACAAAACAATCACCATGTACAAATGTTAACTAATTTTACTAGATAGTTATGGCACTCACTTTTTGAGTAAAACAACAATTAAACTCACACTGCATTTAATGACAATTATGTGCAGCTCATGTCATTTTTCCTCCTCCTTCCATTACTCCGTAAAAGCTGTTGGGGGAAAGAAAATTCAATTACATTAGAAGAATAGTAGTAGCAACACATCCTTCTTCAGCTCCACTATAATTACACATAAAGTAATTGTTGTAATTTCATTAAATCAGACATAACCTGATATTCCCAACACAAAATTATGCATGAGTGAACTTTAAACACAAAATTCCAAACACTTACCCAAGCAACCAAGATGCAGAGTCAACCAGATGTTTATATCAGTGGACCCTTAAGGAAGGCCAGGACATCTTCGGTCACACAGATGGCAACGCAGTAAGCTTTTGCACTCTTAAACCCAGGTACCCCATTGAAACAAACAAGGCACCCAAGAGTGTCACAAACTTGATATGAACTTTACTTTTTTTTCTTTTAAAGTTCAACTGCAAGTTAGAGTCTCTCCTCGCATACTGGAAGAACCATCCAGTCGCACTAGATCACTGTTGAAACAAGGAGGTGGCATCAGTATCAGACCTTGGAATGTATTTTAGAAACGAACTTACCAGCCCAATAGAAAAAAAAATGAAAAAAATAAATAAATAAATGCATCATTCCACACTGGATACACTATGTCTACTAATTGTTTTACAGCATTGCAAGGCATTTAATGACAGATAGATTATATAAAGAAATTTGAAATTTATTGCTTCATAAACATCAAATTTTAGTCAATTAATTTTTTTGTCTTTTGTTTTTGTTCTTTAAGATACAAATAAGCACTGATACTGAATTTAAAAAAAAGAAAAACAAGAACTTGTCAATTGTATCTGAGTAAGGATATTGATTAAAACACAAGTGAAGGTAGTCAGAACAATCAGCATAACAGCTGGTGAAAAAGTTCAGCTCTGGGCTGATGAGTCAACTTTACCTGCTGAGCCACAGACCGATGCTGATTCCGGCAGCTTTGATTCTTGAAAGTTTGGGGCATATTTAGGTTTATGCCACTACTGTGTTAAGAATTAAAAGTGAGCAAAACTTGTCACCGTTGTGCATTGAGAGACACTTCCAGCTGGCTATGGCAAGCCAACCTCTGAAGGCTCTGCTGTTATCATAAGTATTATCGTGAGTATTATCATTATCATTATTACTATGACTGTAATGCAGTGTTTTAAAAGGAGTTCTAATTTAAGAATTCCTTTATTCATTTTATCTGTCTGTTTTTACTCAGAGCATGTGGATGACAGGATGCATACACGAAGGTGACACAGTTTGTAAACCAGTGCTTACTACATACATGGTTGGTCAACCAATAAAAAGGAAAAAAAAAGAAAAAAAGTATATTATAGTAATAATAATAACAATAATAATAATAAGTGATGGAAATTAAAAAATGATAAATGAAAAATAAAGGAGGATATAGATATTCAAATATATATATAAAATAAATAAGATAAGAAGAGAAATGAGGACAATGTCATAGTATATAAAAATTTGGTATGTGTGTGCATGTGTCTGTGTGTGTGTGTAGTCTCATAACCCTCCTCCAGCCCTCCTCCCCGAAACTCTAACACATTGGACCGTCACCTGTCTTGCCCGCACAGGACAAGTGACTCAGGACAAGAGTGCTCCCTAAAGCATTGCCTAATATCACAAATGAAGAACCACAAGGAGACGGGAGACACAAAAATAAAGAAAAAAAGAAAAAATTAATAATAATAAATAAAAAAAAGGAAAAAAGTATATATATATATAAAAGCATTTCTTTGAAAGGCTTGGTGTGTGAGGACAACACGCAGGTCCGCAGTGAGCCAGGGTGATTTTGAGATCTGCTCTTCACGGACTGCTCCTGAGTAGCTCTCTCTAAGGATGGTGACCCGCATGACACGAGTTCACACACTCAAAAGTAGGATAAAACGTGAAGCCGCCGCCACTCAAGGTTGCATGAGCTTTTCCGGTCGTTGTCATCTCAGGGACGTTTTGAACACAAGTGAAGAACAACAATGACAACAACAACAATAAAAAGGGAAAGGGGAGTGTTAGAACTGAGCTTGTACTTGGGCTCACTACTTGCGACTTTTTTTGGCAGGGGAGAGACGGGGGAACTAGAGAAGTGAAGTCATGCAACCTTTCATGAGGTGATAAATGAGCCACTGATAGCCAGGTACCAGTCAATGCCATAATAAGCATGCTAATAATTATCATGATCACTTTCTTAAAAATTTAAACACCTAGTTCATTTACTATAAATTTATTTTTTCCTTAACCTATGTGAAAACACATATTCAAAAAAATGAGTTCATGATTTCATCAATTGCACAAAAATTTACAAATCATATAAGAGATATTGATACAAGATCTCAAAACCTTAAAGTGAATGACTTTATCTGGACATGACAAGTAACCCAAATCTATATGAACATTGTCATATGATTATGAATTTGGTCCAAGATTTCTTTCATTTAAATCTATTTTTTCACTTTTTCTTTTCTCTCTTTTTTTTTTTTTTTTTTTTTTTTACTTTTTAATATATTTTTTGCAATCTTAAAACAGATGTAGTCTCTAAGTCTAAAGTAATGGAGCATAACACTAAATTCCAAATACAAGTTGTATCATCAATTATAGACTAAATTTGAGGCTACTGTCGAGAGTAGCACAAAGTGGCAGGGTGGCTGAGTGGTCACGGCTTGGTGCCTTTAAGGCCTTCTTTGCTTCATCGTCATCCACGGGTTCCCCCATTGGGATCCGCATTAACCTCCCCTTTATTTCCGGGTCTTGGGAGTCATGGGAACATCGGTGTTTATCTCTGTCTGATCCACTATAGCCTCCCCGTTCTCCTCTGCCTGGTCCATGGTCTGGGTTTTGCCCCTTCCCCCTCGGGGACGGCCGGACTGTCCACATTAGCTTCACTAGTGGCTGACGCCTCCCCTTTATTTTCCTCATCTTTAATGTTGCCTTGCATGGCTGCTTCCGCCAATATTTTATCCACATCCTGTAAATTGTGTGAAATACAATGTTAATACCGTGTGGGAGAGGGCTTGGGCCTGGAGGGACCCGAAACACCTCACACTCTCTCTCACCTCCACCTCCTCCATCTCCTCCTCTTCTTCCTCCACCTCCTTCTCCTCTTCTTCCTCCCCTATCCTTGTCTTCCTCCACAACAACACACCCACACTACAAAATTTAGACTTAACTAATCAACAACACTGAGATGTGAAAACAATTTTTTTATTTTTTTTTTGGTCTGTTTGTCTTTTTGTACTTTTGTTTTTGAGACATATTACATATAAATAAATGTAAAAGCAATAAATCTTTGAAATGTGGGATAAGCAAAGCCAATGAAATTTAAAAGGCAAATCATTTTTTTTATCCTTTTTTTTTGAGACACTTGATCACTATAAACAAAGAAGCAACAGAGCCACAGAGCTCATAGGTCAGTCACTGGTTCCGAAGCTGGTCTTACTTAAAGGATACAGTGCCATGCCCTCCCCTTCCCTCCCTCCCACTCAACAGGCATCTCACCCTCCTCCCTTCCCACCGCCACCCCTTATGCGGTGATGTTATCGAGAGCTCAACAAAACACTCGAGACGGAGCCACAGCACTCTGGGAGGAGGGCGGGCTGGGCCTCTCCTCACACAGGGTTAGGCTGTTAATGTTAGTGGGGGATGCTGTGTTTGATTTCCTCCTCAGACAACATCACCTCATAGCACCCAACTTAGCAGTGTCATCGCCGTCATCAACAACACCAACTCCAACTCCAGCTCCAACTCACTCGATCATTCACTTATTTCTTTTATACATATTCACTCACTCACTTACTCTCACTCTCATTCTCATTTCTTCTGTCTCCCTTTCCCTTTAATCCCTTGTTGATAGCCAGTCATGAGGGGAAAGGATGGTGAGCGACCCAAACAACGACCAACATAAAGAGTCACACGTCCGTAGCCAGACCTCGGCACCATATATGCAGCAGACAGTCACCAAAGCACACAGACACTGAGCCCCAACAGTGACTGGCTGGGAAAAAAAAAGAAAGAAAAAAAAAAAAAAGAGGAATAAAAATGAAAAAGAAAAGAAAAAAAATCCCATCACTAGGATAATTAGATTCTTTCTCCCTTTCTTCCCCCTAATCCCATCCCCATGCAGTGTTTCTGGGTCTGCAGTAGTAAGTAATTCTGTTTGTGTAGAGCAGCTCTTACGTCTGACCAGGATAAGGAATGGATCCACACTGTGAAGGATTGTTAAAGAAGCACAAAACAGCTGCAGAGAATGTGTAATAATCATAACAATAATAATACTAATAAGGAAAAAAACAAATAAAAAAATAAACCCATCACAACATCCAATTGAGCCCTTCCTGCAGTGCTGCCCTACACCAGCAGAATTCTCCAATGTCGCAACTCCCAACCCTTTGCCAGGAGACCCCAAGAAAGCTTCAGGGACTCTCATGCCTGAAGCTTAAGAACAAAGCCTCTTCCAACACTCCCACTGCCCTACAGCCCAGCTACACCATCCGCTCCCCTTTTCCTGACTGCCGCTGCAAATCCTATAGGGCCCTTGATTAAAAAATATAAAATAAATAAATAATTAAGTAACCAAATTAACCAACACCTTATTCTGACTCCCCTCCACACCACATTTTACTTCCCACCTCAATTAAACCACTTACCCAACTCCCCGAGGCCTCTGCCGACCTACCTCCTCTGGGTGTGCGCCGATGTACTCCAGCTTGGCCTCACGGAGCATGGTGGTCACTTTATTGCGTTGCTCCTTGAAGCCATCCCAGTCCTCCTTGCTCTTGGTCTTCTTTGCCTTCTGGTGCAGCTTGTGTTTCTTCATGATCTCGTTCTTCATGGCTTCTGTCACCCATGGTTTGTTCATTTCTCCCTAGGATGAAGGGGCAGAGAGAGGTGACATTAGTCATACAGTAATTTAGTCTGTTGGAATCTTTTGAAAGCAAGGATGATAAAGTGTATGTGCATATATATATATATATATTATATATATATATATATATATATATATATATTATAGAGAGAGAGAGAGAGAGAGAGAGAGAGAGAGAGAGAGAGAGAGATGAGAGAGAGAGAGAGAGAGAGAGAGAGAGAGAGAGAGAGAGAGAGAGAGAGAGAGAGAGAGGCGGGGGGCATTTAGAGAGAGGCTCATGGAATTACTTCTATTGGTAAATGATGCAATTTACCATCCATTAGACTTTGACTGGAAGAGCACTGGATCCAGGAAGGATGCTATTTCCATGCTCAGGATCCTATTCCTTCCTGCTGTACAGTTTAACCATGATAATATCATCATAGTTAAACTGGAGGATCTCAACACGTACTAGATCACACATAAAAATGTATAAAAATATACTCTCACTCTATGTAATCAACACCATGAAAGTAAAAGTGAAAAAAAGTGCACTCACATATTGCAGTTAGAAGCAGCATTTCAACTCTTCAAAATCACTCTACATGTTTCCTCCATGGTCTCAAATAGTAAACTGACTAATAACTCATTACTGTGATATGTTAACTAGTTCGTATGTTACTACACATTTATGAAAAGGAGTCAGTTCCTATTAGCGCCCATGTATTCCACTATATTTGGGTATTTTGTGTTTTTATGTAATGCTATAAAAGACAAAATATTCCTGTTGAGAATCGTTTGGGATTTTTTTCAACTTCTTTGGTAATTCTTGAATTCCATGTAGTTCATACATATGCTTCTACAATTCTCAAAATTGAACCACTGTGTTGTATTCATGCTACGACTATATAACTAGAATGATACTGTACTGATATTGCCATCCACAGTTCTCCATTTCTTCAAAATCGGATTTTCAAAAAGAAAAAAAGAAAAAAAAAAAGTGAGAGAGAGAGAGAAAAAAAAGTATTACTTGGTTTAGATTAGTTGAATTTATTTAATGCATTTTTTAACTTTACAGACAGAATTACCTGCAGACAGACAGAATTGTTAGGAAAAAAATTGAATTGAGGGGCAGGTGACGTGAACATGCCCTCAAGGGTAAAATGGCCGAGGGCTGGGTGATGCGAACTTGCCGTCATGAGTAGCCCAGGGTGACAGAAAAGGCTCGCCATGAGTGTACAAACCTCTTAGCGGCTGATTAGACTCATCTGGCATTTGGAAAGGGGCTTTTACATTATTCCATCAGTAAATGAGTGTGGAATGTAATGTAAGTAAGCCATGATTGGTAGAGGTCCAGCTCTGGGAAGGACACCAAGTACATAGTCACCAAGGAGTCAATTATTAGTCGTAACTATACTAACTGCTTTCCTTTTCCCTTTACTTTTGGAGATTCTTTATTTTCCCTTGATATTAGTATTCTATAATATTCTAATAACAACAATGCAAGTAATTAGCAACATTAGGGGGGGGGGGGAAGGAACAGTGAAATAACTGAGGTATTTTAAGGTCTACTAATCAACTTCTTGGTGGCCAAGTACTTGTAGAGCCATTATTATGTAAGTATCAAAATTCAGTGTGCAGGAATCTGGTCAAAAGTGTCCACCAAGGTACTGTATCCCAAAGTCAACAAATGGTTGCATGCTTTCCTCCTAGCTATAACTTTTCTTTTTTTTGCCTGTTTATCACCCCATGTCATACTTCCCTTCACCTTTAGTTGTATTGCCACTTCAATAACACAAAATATGAGGTGTATTACATTTTAGAAATATTCCTAATTAAAAGTGACCAATGAAAATCAGAATAAAAATAACAAAATGATAAACTGGACAGGCATGCTATGCACTTGTGACTGGTGTAAGATGTATGAATGTCTCATTAGCCATTTTGTTTTCCTTGAATTACATATGCAACATCAAGCATGACATAATATATAAAGATACATGAGATGAGAATACTAACAGTATATAAATTACAGAAAACTGACATCAATTACCTACTTAACAAGTTTATGAATTTGCTGACAATGCAACTAAAGCTTCATTTTTGCTTGAAAACACCTGCATGTTTGTGTTTACTTCAAATGTCATTCATCATTTTATAAACTTTTGTAATCAAGCTTGACATCCTTTAATAACTGTATACTTTTAGATAATTTGTATATCTTTAGTCACAAATTAATCTGTACCTAAATATGTTTCCATCTTAAAGACTTTTGAAACAAATATATGCCTCTAACAAGAACCAGATATTGATGATCCTCTCTAAAGTTGCACTGACCAATGCATAATCAACATGTAAACGTTTCCAGGCTTTGGCTACTGCCTTGCCTGGAGATAAATAATGGTTAGTTGGCCTGTGATAAACCACAAAGCAAGTTGGCCACAGCAATGCCTGATGCAGTCCTATCCTATTAAACAGATGCCACTGGGATGGCAAGTATGTATATGTGATGCCCATTGTAAGTTTCATCTATTAAATGTCTTTACACATAAGATGGCTCCACAATTACTTAGTCACCAAAGAGTCCACGAATCTCACCTGTTTAGTCTTTTCCTAAATCTTTGGAAATATTTACTTTTATGATATACTGCTATCAGTAATATGAATTTGTAATAACCATTATGTCTATAATACTAATAACAGCATCACTACTGAAAGCATTATAAAGAAACACTCAAAGTAAGGAGAAATCAGGTGAGGTCATGAGGTCTACTATACAACTCCTTCGTTGCTAAGTACTTGTAAAGCCATGTATGTGTAGACATTTCACAAACAATACTATAGTGAATACTACGTTTTCCCTATGACACTGTGTGAGGTTACTTTACCAAACACTGGTTTTGTTGCATTTGGGAGCTATGGTGTACTTCACAGCAAGTAAAAAGTAGTTTAGTGTATAATAGCAACATTTCCTAAATAAAATAATAATTCAGTATATAACAATGTGACTTTCATGACGGGCCATATATGGATCAACATAATTATGGAAACTAAGATAATTTTCATTTACTAAATTTCCCTTGCAAATAAAACCATTATTTGATATAAAAGCAGACCTCACCAGTGAACAATTGACGTGTGCTTTTATCTATAAAAGAACCAAAATGATTCCTGAATGTTCAGTTCCTCTAAGGCCAATTAACAAAGAAAATTAGCAAACTAAGAGGCCAATCATAAGCAAAGACGATGAAATTCATCAACTAAGGTGGTTCTACGTCAGTTGTGTGCAGTGTGATGGTGTGACTCCTACATCAGTTTCAGTAGTCTACAGGATACTTTGCAATGGTTTACCAATATTGAACCAAGCTGCATCCTGCTACAACAAGGATTCCTAACCAAGGCATTTAACCCTTTTGGGCCTGGGAATCATTCACTGGGGATATAGCACTCGATCTCTGGATATTTGTATCTATTTATTGTATTAATTTATATATAGTTTTTTTTTTTTGGTGTAATATATAAAAATACAAAATTTTATATGCTTATGATCTTCCTTCATATAATCATATTTACAGTATCTTCAAGATCCTGACACATCTAGAAGTCATACTAGTAAGTAACAGGACTAGGGCTGATACAATTTTCATGGTACAGTGAAGGGGATATGAGACCGTAATGGGCAATCCCAAAAGGTCTAGAATCATCAAAAAGTGAAACACTCCTGCTGATAGAATAGATGAGCAGGATGTTTGTTGGCTTTAATGCTTCAGCACTGTAAGGCCTTGGGTGTTTTCCATAGTATTAAAATTTAATCCAGATCTCTAGTGTGCATGCGCAAATTACAGTGTCTGAGATCAACTTTTAAATAACTTTTAAGCTCAAAATTCAATCTTGTACATGCACAGATGAGCTAGTTAAACTCACCAATCATGTATTGATACATAATGACATCAACTCCATAGAAAAGATGGAGTTGAGTTGCCATTAATGTTCATTATCAGCAATAATAAACAAATTTAACATTTTCATGTTAAAGATCTACAAGAAAATTCATCAACATATAATCTTATAAGTTGTGGGATACTACATCTGCAGGTTTAACTTTCAACAGTGAAAAGAAAAATGAAAACACAATCCCATGGAGAATTCCACAGTTTACAGATACAGAAAGGTAATGTTATAAAGGGTTTAGGGAAACACTTCCAACTCATGTAATAAATCAAGACTAAAAAAAAAAAAAAAAAAAAAACTTTTAATAACATCATGATTAGGTTTCATATTCAAAGTACAAAATCCGTGAATCTTGATAGTAGGACGACTTTAAAACCATGTGAAAATTTATCATCATATTCCTCAATAGCAACATCCTGAAAAACTACCATACCACATGCCCCACAATCACCCGCAAGAAAGAGCTCTCTTGATGATATACCATAATATTATGTGTATATATTTTTTTCTCAGTGGCAAACATCTCTTTATCAATATGAAACTCAGAGGTTGACTGCTAATTACCACAACACAAATACCCATTTTTCTATGTAAAAGGGCAGATATACTGATAATCGCATTGCCTCGTGCATCTGGCAGTGTGTCTTACACCTGTGCAAGTACTGTGGATTAGAATTAAACTTTAATCCGGATTTAACTTTTATGACACGTACAGAAAGTACCATTAGAGTTAACTGCAAATGCTGTGCATTCCATATGTTATAAAGGTAAGTAAACTGTAAGAATGTTGTACAAAGTAAATTTCTATTCTACATCAAGACATAATAAACACATTTCACACAATTTCTCTCAATATCTTTTTTGTCAGACATGATTTTTACAAACAAAATTCAAAATTTCTCGTAGCTTGATGCGAATACAATGCTCTGTTCATTATCTGTGCAAACCTTCAGCTTCTGTAGCAGGAGCTCTCCCTATTCAACAGGTTTGGGGGACTAGAAAAAAAAAAAATCAGGCTAATGGGTTGAGGCGGAAGTGATAACCAAAGGGAGAATCTTTACAGATGCACTAAGCTAGGGCATACTGAAATTATATTCTCAAAGGGCAATAAATAATCTGCAGACACAAATGGTCATGCCACAAATAAATGAAAAAGACTGGAAAGCACCGCTCAAATGGTGTTTCTCAAGAAGACAATGTTTGCCAGGGGTGTGTTGAAGTGCAGAGTCCCCTATCAACCCTCCCTTAGGGGCAGTATCCAAAAGGCATGCCAAGTCATGGCAACATAAATTGAATAAATTTTGTGATATAGAGTTTGGGATTCCACACTGTAAAGAATTACCAGAAGATATTTACAAGCTATCCTTTGTTTTTTTTAACTTGGGTTTTTTCTCAATCATATTTAATTAATCTTTATTGCATGTATGCACAAAGCTAGGATAAATCAAAGATGATAGTCTTGTTAAGAAGAAAAAGCTGCAATCTAAGTCTAAGAATCTACAGACACGATGTAATACCACAGACAAAGGAAAAAGATCAGAGCACCCAGCCTATGGTCACTCGATGCCCCCAAGATGTTTGCCAGGGGGTGATGGAGGGGGCAGACGTCCCTATTCACCCTCCCCTCGGGACGTAGTCCCTGAAGGGCCTGCCTAATCACAGCAATTCAAATTGTTGAAAAAAAATTGACATGGATTAGGGAGCTATAAAGAATTTTGAAAACTTGTACTCTATTCATGTTTAAATTGCTTGACAGTGGCAAGCATTTGCTGTGCTCTACACTATGTGCTTCAGTAAAGGCAACAAACCTCATCCAAGTATACTACCGCAAGCTACACATAAAAGTGCATGGCCAATGGTGGACGTGCTGGTATCATTAGAAAAAAAATTAAATGTTATATTATAGCTGCCTTCTCCATGTCCAGAATAACAAAAGTAAGTCGTATATGCCTAAATACTACCTAATTCCCAACCTGTCAAAAAAGACTATTGGCTTACCTGTTTGTCCTTTTTGTTGAGGATTCCCCCCCGCGGCCTCGCATGGGCCCGCGCCCCCGAAGCATACCCCTGCCTCGCCCCCTCATGGGCGGTCCTGGTGGCCCCATCATGCCAGGGCCAGGGGGTCCAGGTCTAAAGGGGGGCCCATGGGGGGAGGGGGGCCCATCATGCCCCGCATGCCCCCTCGACCACGCATGCCCATGGCGCCGCGGGGTGGGGGAGGGCCCATTGGTCCGGGACCAGGTGGGCCCATCCTGCCAGGTGGACCCATAGGCGCAGGTCTCCTACCGGGACCGGGAGGGCCCATCCTACCAGGTGGGGGGCCCATGGGGGGTGGCGGTCCCATAGGTCCGTGTGGGGGTCCCATGTTTGGCGGACGCCTCATGCCTGGTGGGGGAGGCATGGGGCGTGACATGAGCGGCGGCGGCTTGTGCCCTCCTCCAGGGCCGCCCCTCTGGCCTCCCCGTTGCCCGCCGCCGCCACCGCCGCGGCCGCGACTGCAGAAGCCGCGGCCCCGCCCGCCCCGTGCGCCCCCGCGCCGCTCCATGTACCCGTTGCTCTGCCGCGTCAT